CAGCTTTAGTAAATAAACCCATTTAAGTCTATAACACACCTTGAAACTTTTTTTTATCATATACAATAAATAAAAAAAATTACACCTAGGTAGATTGCTACTGATTTTGCACTGTTTATTTTGTTAAATTTCTTTTTTTTTTTTATTATTGGCATTCCTCTGCCTTACAAATGTGTCACATTCATGTTATATGCAATTAGTCTTCCAAATATTTTGCTATTCAGATGACTGTACACAAAGGCATACACAGATTATTACACAATAAAACCCACATAATGAGCTAATGAGCCCAATGACTGCAAACCAGTGAGCCAATGACTGCCTGCACAGAAGTGGAGAACAAGTGACTGACTCATGTAGACTCCTCTGTTATTCAATATCCTGAATGAATCCGGAAATTGTAAGGTAGTTTTTTTTTTTTCTTTTTTAGTTTTTACAAATGAAGGAAAAATATTCTTTAGACTAGTTCTAGAGGTTAAAGTGGTGTAATATATATTGTTTTATTAAAATAATAAACATGTTTTACTTACAGTACCTGCTCTGTGCAATGGAATTGCACAGAGCAGCCCGAACTTCCTCTTCTTTTGAAGCCTCTGCTTTTCCTAGCAAAGCTTGTGCAACCAGGAAAAGAGGGCAAGAAAGACCTTCAGCCTGGCACAATGCTGGATCAATTCAGGAATCAGGTAAGTGTTAGTCAGGGCAGGTGGGGGGACACACAGTGGAAGGATTTTTACCTTAATGCAGAGAATACATTAAGGTAAAAAACCTGAAGATGTTAGAACCATTTTTAAATAATTTGCTTTATTTCTTTTTGCAGTATCGTACATTATGGAGGGAAGACAAATGTGGAAGCATTGATTTGTAAGGGAAATAACAGTGATATCTAATAGTTTCATGTAATGCCTCCAGTCAACAGCTTTCTGTAGCATTTAATTTGATAAATAATAATACAGTATGTGCAGCCCTTTCATGATATCAGGAGCCACATTTGGGGCCCTCTGTATCAAGAATGTTGACCACCACTGCTCTAAAACATACAGAATGTGCTCAGACTGTGTGCAGTGGCCTCAGTTAAGAACATGCAATAAATGTGTAGGCTAAGCAAATGAAAGGTAATTCTTTATGGAGGGAGATTTCAGGATTTTCAGGGAAAATGCTATTCCTTTTACAAGTATATTATTTTTAAGTTTCTGTTCTCTTTGCCTACAGTCCCTCATTTGCACGTATTTCCATGATAGACATCCTTTCTTCCAGCTATTTGACTACTCAAATGGTTCTAATGTCAGAGTTTCTTGAGTAACCGTGTTGATTAAACTTGCATTTACAGAAATATTTCTGTATATAACCTTTTTTTTTTACTATTACAGGAAGAATTCATGGAAGAGAAAAATACAACTACAACATTGTCTTTAGAATTTCTCCTCCTGGGGTTTTATGAGTGGCCACGCTTTCAGCTCATACTATTTTCCATATTTCTCCTAATCTACCTTATGGCTCTGTCTGGTAATTTGACCATTTTTGTGGTTATATTGTTCAGCCCCAACCTCCACACTCCCATGTATTTCTTCTTGTCTAATTTATCCATCCTGGACATTACTCTCACATCCAGCATTATGCCCAAGCTCTTAGACATCTGCTTAACTGAAAATCACTCTATCACCTATATTGGGTGCTTCACCCAAGTAGTTTTCTTTGTGATATGTGTTGTGGCTGAGTATTTTCTCCTTGCGGTCATGGCCTATGACAGATATGCAGCCATCTGCTGTCCACTACGTTATTCTTCTTTAATGGAAATGAAGATTTGCCTTCGGCTTGCATTGAGTTCATGGGGATTGGGTGTTTTGGAATCTCTAGTTTTGGCTGGGGTGATTTCACAACACCCATTCACAAAATCCAAGAAAATTAATCATTTGTATTGTGATATGAAAGCACTCCTGAAGCTGTCCAGTAGCAACACTCGGGTTGCAGAAATGACAATTCTAGTGTCCGGAGTGATATTTGGATTCTTTCCTTTAGTCTTCATTTTAGTGACCTACGTTTTTGTCATATACAGTATATTAAACATACGAACTAAAGAGGGAAAGAGCAAGGCCTTCTCAACATGTTCTTCTCATCTTACAGTGATAACCTTGTTTTTTGGGATTGTCCTCAGTATGTATATGAGGCCAAAGTCAGCTTACTCAATAGAGCAAGATAAGATTCTGGCTGTCTTGTATACATCTTGCATTCCAACACTTAATCCTTTAATCTATAGCCTAAGGAACAAAGATGTACATGTGGCTATAAAAAAAGTTTGGTTGAAAATATTAAGGACATAAAGCTTAAAGCCCATCTCCATGAAAAAATCTCCACCCTCCCTTATCCCTTCTATACCACCACCCGTATGTCTATTCATGCTAAAAAGAACACCCTCCCCCCACTCATTTACTTATTGGAAGTCACATGTCATGGGAACCTTCGCACTGCCTCTTCCATGGAGACTAGTGAACTGCTACTGGATTCTTGGCCTGCCAACTGATTCTGTTGCCACTATTTGTTGTTCGTTTTATCATGGTGAGGCTGTTGGAAGTCTTTAGGACCCTGGGAGGGCCCCAAAAATGGCCGTTTTCATTAGCTAATGGGAAGTATCCACACCCTAGAAAGTTACCTGGGCACTAGAAAATGGACCCTGCCACTTTGCAGTTCACAAGAAAAAAGACTGAGGACCCAATTGAACATATGACCATGGATTCAGGTAAGTGCATGGGGTTTCTCTTTTTAATAAAACTATTAAAAACTAACTAAAATAGAGAAGGGTGGTGTGCAAAATGTTTTTTATTTTGTTATCCCCTCAGATATCAGGTTTAACAAACTGTAGTGGTGATATGTAGCACGTGTTTCTCAATCGATAAATACTGATTAGGGATAGACAAGGCTTTTTTGTGATATTGTCTTGCAAAAATGATTTTTTTTTAAAACAATCCACAATGTAACAACATTTTTTTTAAAAGTGCACTTTGTTAATTTTTTGACCAGTGGTTGTTTAAAAAATATTATAGTGTTACTGAAGATAAACAGTATACAATTTATTCTATAATTTTATCTTTTTAAAAAGACACTAAAATTATGATTCTGATACCAAGCATTTACAAATTAAATCATAAGTTTTTTCTCAATTGTATGTTTTCCTTAATGTGACACAAAAAGAAAACAAGTAAAGCTCCATGCACACAAGCCACCCAAAAATAGCTGGAAAAAATGCTAGACAAAAAACCCTAATAACTAGCATTTTTACAGTGTTTAGGAGCATTTGAAGTTTAGGAGCGCAAGCGTTTATAGAAGGCCACCTCTGGCAGCCTTAATATCCATAGAATAGCTGGTTGTCAAGGAGCAGATCGGCAAGCCGGCCGCCGTGTCCTTAACAGCGGATGAGTCATCAGCTGTCAGCAGAGTTCCCTGCTGACAGCTGAATGTAAACAAAATAATTGCTGGTTATAAAAATTAAGAAAAAAACAGAATATAGATTTTAAGGGGAACTGCATGACAAAATTTAAAAAATGGCGTGGGGTCCTCCCAAATTCATACCAGACCCTTATCCAATCATGCAGCCTGACAGGCCCAGAAAGTGGAGGAGCCAAGAGACTCTTCTCCCCAACCCTGAATGTTGGATGTGGGGGTGAGACTTATCAAAACCTGGAATCCCTTTAACAAGGGAGCCCCCAGATCCTTCCCCCTCCCCCATGTGAATGAGTAGGGGTACATACCCCTACTCATTTATCAAAAAAGTGGTAGAAGGGAGTAAAAGCACAACAACAGTCCATTAATAACCACTTGCCCTCCAGAGGATTTACTCCCCTTCCTGACCAGGCCATTTTTTGCGATACAGCAGTGGGTTACTTTAACTGACAATTGTGCTGTCATGCAACCCTACACGTAAATGAAATTTATGTCATTTTCCCCCCCACAAATAGAGCTTTCTTTCAGTGATATTTGATCATCTCTGAATTTTTTATTTTTTGCACTGTAAACAAAAAAGGCCGTCAATTTAAAAAAAAACAAAAATTTTTTAAATCACATTTCTTCATAAATTTAGGCCAAAATGGATTCTGCTACATGTCTTTCTGCAAGTGTAGCATATCCACCATGTTGGAATGTGAATTAAATATTATTCCCATTAAGGACAAGATCATGGCAACTTAACCAGAAGAAGGTTGCATTGCAAGCACCCAACCATTTAATTAAAATTGAACAAAAAGGTTGGATGTAAGCTACCGCAGTACCAGGAAAGACCATTTCAACATGTCCTCCTCTCTTTGTGTCCACAAGATAATGGTCTCACAACGGATGTTTGTAATGAGAGCTTTAATATGGACTGCAAGGCCAATAAGCTAACAGTGTACATTGGTAGAAGTACAGCCAATTTTTTCACTATATGGATATATAGATCCCAGGTTATTTTTTTCTTCTTCAATTGTAACAGAACTGGATTGAATACTATGCCATAAGATGTATAAATTATCCAAGCATCATAGAGCTATAATATCTATAGAGGCAGCTGTTGCGGGTTCATGGAATCAAAAAGTTACAAACAGAAGAACGTCTCATAGAATCACAAAAGTGCAATGACTATTAAACATAAAGCTAAACATGTGCCCCACAAATAGCTAAGTGGTAAAATAGAATGAAAGTCACTCCAATACATCATCATATCTATATATTATATATATATATATATATATATATATATATATATATATATATATATATATATACAGTGGAGATCAAAAGTTTGGGCACCCCAGCTAAAAATTTGTATTAATGTGCATAAAGAAGCCAAGGAAAGATGGAATCTTTAAAAGGCATCAAATTACAGATTAGACATTCTTATAATATGTCAATAAATGTTAGATTTTATTTCCATCATTTACACTTTCAAAATAACAGAAAACAAAAAAATGGCGTCTGCAAAAGTTTGGGCACCATGCAGAGTTAATATCTTGTACTGCCCCCTTTGGCAAGTATCACAGCTTGTAAACGCTTTTTGTAGCCAGCCAAGAGTCTTTCAATTCTTGTTTGAGGTATCTTTGCCCATTCTTCCTTACAAAAGTCTTCCAGTTCTTTGAGATTTCTGGGCTGTCTGTCACGCACTGCTCTTTTAAGGTCTATCCATACATTTTCAATTATGTTGAGGTCAGGAGATTGTGAAGGCCATGGCAAAACCTTCAGTTTACGCCTCTTGATGTAATCCCCCGTGGATTTCGAGGTGTGTTTAGGATCATTATCCATTTGTAGAAGCCATCCTCTCTTTAAACTTCAGCTTTTTCACAGATGGCATCAAGTTACCATCCAAAATTTGCTGAAATTTTATTGAATCCATTTTTCCTTCTACTCGTGAGATGTTCCCTGTGCCACTGGCTGCAACACAACCCCAAAGCATGATTGATCCAACCCCATGCTTAACAGTTGGACAGAGGTTCTTTTCATTCAATTCTGTGCCCCTTCTTCTCCAAACGTACCTTTGCTCATTCCGGCCAAAAAGTTCAATTTTAACCTCATCGGTCCACAGAACTTGTTTCCAAAATGCATCAGGCTTGTCTATATGTTCATTTGCAAAGTTCAAACGATGATTTTTGTGGTGAGGACGCAGAAGAGGTTTTCTTCTGATGACTCTTCCATGAAGACCATATTTGTACAAGTATCTCTTTATAGTGGAATAGTGTACCACAACTCCAGTGTCTGCCATATCTTTCTGGAGGGATCGTGCAGTCAAACGTGGGTTTTGAATTGTTTTTCTCACAATCCTGTGAGCTGTTCTGTCTGATATTTTTCTTGGTCTCGCAGATCTTGCTTTAACTTCCACTGTTCCTGATGACTGCCATTTCTTAATTACATTCCGAACAGAGGATATTGACATCTGAAAATGCTTTGCTATCTTCTTATAGCCATCTCCAGCTTTGTGAGCGTCAACTATTTTCAGTTTCAGTTTTCTAGACAACTGCTTAGAAGAACCCATGGTGCTGATTGTTGGGGCAAGGTCAGATGAGTCTGGGCATTTAAAACCTTTGAGATTGACATAACCTGGTCTTCCCAGACGATGATTGAGAACAATCCATGACACTGGCAGGTCTCAGCTTGGCAAAGGGGCAGTGCATGCTATAAATTCTGCAGGGTGCCCAAACTTTTGCAGACGCCATTTTTTTGTTTTCTGTTATTTTGAAAGTGTAAATGATGGAAATAAAATCTAACTTTTGTTGACATATTATAAGAATGTCTAATCTGTAATTTGATGCCTTTTGGAGATTTTTTCCATCTTTCCTTGCCTTCTTTATGCACATTAATACAAATTTTTAGCTGGGGTGCCCAAACTTTCGATCCCCACTGTATATATCCATGAATAGAGATGTCAGCTCTGTCTTATTTTTTCTGTCTGCCAAATTCTATTGCAATATGTTTTTTTATACTTTTCAAGTTTCTAGTTTTGATTGTAGTTTTGGTAATGTATTTGCAAGCAATAAATTACATACAGGATTAAAAAATGTAAAGTCTGAATCAGGATTCATTTAAATGATCATGCACAATTTAACCACCAAATATTCTTTCTAGTTAAACATGGTGGCATAATTGAACTTGGTAGTATTAACATGCCTACCTGTGCCTGAACTTCAACCATTCAGATAGTAATTGGGAGGAAGGAACAGCTCACTCATTTAAGGCTCGTCATTTCGTAAAAATGTTTTACAGCACCAGTGCCAATTGGTGGATGTCCCAACCAGAAATAATGCATTGCTAGACCTA